AAAGGCTTCTCCCTTGGGATCTCCACTCTGTAGCTTCAATCCCTGCAGGCTTCTCTGTTGTTCAGCTGTTATTCCGGGACTTTACTCCATTACTGAGTTATTACCACTGTTTTCTTAGTCTCATGTTTTCCTCTTTATGGTTTATATCCTCATTTTGCTGGAGTACATGCTTTAGTATCTTCCTCAGAAGTGGAAGTAACTTTTATGAGCCCTGGTTTCCTTAACTTCACTTTCACTTAATTGGTAATCTGGTTAAATTTCTGGTTTCAAAATAATTTTTCCTCAGAATTTTAAAATCAGTGCTCCATTGTTTTCTATCATTCAGTGTTGTTGATGAGAAGTCTGATCCTGTTCTAATTTTTGTTCCTTTGTAAGTGTTCAGTTTTTGCCTTTGAAAATACTTAGAATTTCTCCTGATGCATTTAGATATGGAGATTTTGTTTTGGTTCTTTGTGTCGTCTACTTTATGGGTTATATCAACCTGCTGACTTGTGTCTTTTTCAGTGTGAAGACATTATTTCTATCAGTTATCCGGTCAGTTTATTAGTTTGTTTTCTCTGTTTGCTCTTTCTGGATCTTCTATTAGTTGGGTATTATAACTCCAAGATTTCTCTTCTATTATATTCCCTTATTTTTGTTTTTATTTTTTAATATATTTTATTGATTATACTGTTACAGTTGTCCCATTGTTTTCTCCCCTTTACTCCCCTCTGCCCAGCAGCCCCCTTTCACCAGCATTCCCTGACCCCCTTAATTCATATCCATGGGTTGTACAAATGAGTTCTTTGGCTTCTCCATTTCCTATACTATTCTTAACTTCTCTATGTCTATTTTGTACTTACCATTTAAGCTTCTTATTCCCTGTACCCTTTCTCCCACTGTCCTTCCTCCCCCAACCCACTGATAACCCTCCATGTGATCTCCATTTCTGTGATTCTCCTCCTGTTCCAGTTGTTTGCTTAGTTTATTTTTGTTTTTGTTTTTTGTTTTAGTTCGGTTGTTGATAGTTGTGAATTTGTTGTCATTTTATTGTTCATAGTTTTGATCTTCTTTTTCTTAGAAAAGTCCCTTTAACACTTCATATAATAAGAGCTTGGTGATGATGAACTCCTTTAACTTGACTTTATCTGAGAAGCACTTTATCTGCCCTTCCATTCTAAATGAAAGCTTTGTTGGAGAGAACAATCTTGGATATAGGTCCTTGCCTTTGATGACTTGGAATACTTCTTTCCAGCCCCTTCTTGCCTACAAGGTTTCTTTGGAGAAGTCAGCTGACAGTCAGATGGGCACTCCTTTGTAGGTAACTCTCTCCTTATCTCTTGCTGCTTATAGGATTCTCTCTTTCTCTTTAATCTTGGGTAACATAATGATGATGTGCCTTGGTGTGTGCTTCCTTGGGTCCAACTTCTTTGGGACTCCCTGAGCTTCCTGAACTTCTTGGAAGTCTATTTCCTTTGCCAGATTAGGGAAGTTCTCCTTCATTATTTTTTTTCAGACGAGATCGGTTACATTCAGGGTGGTATGGCTGTAGACTCCATCATTATTTTTTCAAATAAGTTTTCAATTTCTTGCTCTTCCTCTTCTCCTCCAACCCCTATGATTCAGATGTTGGAATGTTTAAAGTTGTCCCAAAGGTTCCTAAGCTTCTCATCTTTTTTTTTATTTTGAGTTCTTGTTTCTTCCTTCTGTTCTGGTTGAATGTTTATTTCTTCCTTCTGCTTTCCCAGTTTCCTTCCCTTCACTGTTAGTTCCCTGTATATTTTTCTTTATTTCACTTTTCATAGCTTTCACTTCTTCCTCTATTTTGCGACCATACACAGGCACTTCTGTGAGCATCCTGATTATCAGCATTTGAACTGTGCATGTGATAGGTTGGCTAACTCTTCATCACTTCTGTTCTTGGAGCTTTGATTTGTTCTTTAATTTGGGCCATATTTCTTTGCCTCAGCACACTGTTATGTTGTAAGGGGAAGAGCCTTAGGTATTCACCAGGGTGGGGCAACCCGTTGTGCTGTGTTGTGGCACTATATGTGGGGGAGAAGTCTGAGAGGGAACACTGCCACTTGCTCAGCTCTTGCCCGGCTTTTAGTCACTTCCCCTGTTTCCCACAAGCAAATTGGGCCCTTCTGGTGCTGATTCTCAGGTGGGTGGGTTTGTGTACATTCTAGGAACCTGTGGGCCTCTCCGACTAACTCTCTTGGGAGTCTGGTAGTTTCTCCTGCTGCTGCAACCCCCACAGATTTTTACAGCCAGAGGTTTTGAGGCTTTATTTCCCTGCACTGGAACCCTGGGGTGGGTGGTCTATCTTGCTCCCCAGTTGTTCTTCCTGGTTTATCTGCACATTAATGTGAGACCTCTCAGTCTGTAGCCACTGTCTCGCCCACCCCTATCTCAAGCCGCAGCCTTGCTACATGTCCTCTCCACTAAGGCTGCCTGTCTCTGCCCCTCGTACTAGTCTGAATGAATGTTTCTTCTTTAACTCCTTGGTTGTTGGACTACTCTACAGTTCAATTTTCTGGCAGTTCTGTTTTTTTTTTTTAATTTGTTGTTATTCTTCTTTTGGTTGTGTGAGGAGGCAAAGTGTATCTCCCTATGCCTCCATCTTGGCCTGAAGTCCTCTTCTATTATACTCTTTGCTCAAATTTTCTACCCCTTCTTTATCTTTCTGTTTTAAGTTCTAGTGTATTTACTTAACTTTATCTTTTAGATCTTTGTTGCATTTTTAATTTTAGTGATCATGTTTTTAATTTCCAAAACTTTTTTCTAGGTCTTGGATTATTTTTTGTTTTGCATGGCAACTTTCTTTATGGATAAAATATTCCTCTTGGATGTGTCTGGAGCTACTAGTTGGTGTTTACTTCAAAATTCTCTTCTGTAACGTGCTTCTTATGTTTCTTCCAGCCCAGGTTGTTCTATTTTTATCACACATGTATTTGTGTGTTTGTTCCTGGTTTTTATCATACAGCTGGCAGTCTTTGGTTGCTGGCATGGATTCCCTGCTGTAGTGTGTGTGGGTCTGTTCCCCTGATGGGGCTCCTTCATGGGAAGGCAGACAGACTGCAGCACATTTGTGAGAATGGCTGGTTCTGAGGAGGGCTTCATTTGGGGTGCAAACATCCACACCAGCAGTCCTGATTTTCCTTGGACAACGTATTCAAATCTTCTAGAGAAGCATTCCAAAGCTTTCTGTTCCTTCCCTTTCACTCTTTATCACTTCATTATCTGCATTTTCTGTGCTCCAGACATTTTTGGAAACCTTTCATCTACTTAAGACTCCCCCTCCCAGTCCTCTTTGCTTGTAGGCATGTATCCATTTTCCCCCTTTCCTGCCCTTTTAGTAGGACCTTGGGAGGGATGGGAACCAGAGGAAAGAAAATGTGTCTAACATGCTATTTTAAACAAAAAGCTCTTTAAAAATTATTTTTTCCTTTATTTCAAGATGATTACTGTAGAAAACTGAGAAAATATAGATAAGTAATAAAATGAAAAAAGATGGTCTTATCACCGCCCACAAATAACCTTGTCAACATTTTAAAACATGTTCTAGTTCCTTTTTGCTCTGCATCTATTTATGTTTTCATTTTACAGTGGGATCATAGCAAATGTCTTGTTTTCTAAAATGCCTCTGAAAATGAAACAATAGCTTTTAAATATCTTTCCATGTCACAACATATTCCTGAAAATATTGCGAGACCTGGTATTTATTGAAAGATGTATCATCACTGATTTAGCCAATCCATTATTTTTAGATATTAGATTGTTTCTAGTTTTCACTATTATAAAAAAGCATTGATAGGCATTTTTGGCTAACTTTTGACTCATATCCTTGACTATTCACTTAGGATGAAACCCTAGCAGTAGAATTGCTGGGTCCAGCCTTCAGGGCACTCTCTGAAACAGCCCCCCTTTAACTTTCTGGCGCCAAGCTTGCACTTCACTCCGCTTCTCTTGAGCTTCTGTAAGTGTTAACTGCGGAGGCATCACGAGCATAACATTTGGAGTCAGACAGACTGGGGTTGAATCGCAGCTTTGCCGCTTAGTAAATGTGTGACCTTAGGCCATTTTAATTAACCCCTTTGAGCACTAGTTTCCTTTCTATAAAACGGGGGAAATAATTCTACCTTTCTGATGTGGTTGTTGTGAGGATTAAACAAGGTAAAAATGCACGTAAAGCACTTAGCACAGGCCCTGTCAGGTTGAAAGTGTTCACAAACCCATGATGACGGGGTTAGGCCATTCCTTCCCTGAAGCCTCTGTAAATCTTGCTTCAAGGCGGTGTTGCCGAGGCACCCACCCTCTGAGAGGCTTTCCTGACCAGGGCTAGTAGAGCTCTTGTGGGCTGGACCTGCTTTTGGTGCTTGGAACAGATTGGTTGTAGCTTCCCTCTGTGTGTGTGTATGGACAGAGGCGAGCGACATGCCCCCTCCACCATCCTGCACTGTGCTGTCTCCCCACCATCACTGACTATTTTGTAATTTGGGAAGAGCAGTGATGATGTGAGTAAGGGTTGGTAGCACCAGGGTTGTTCTTTGGAGTTTGTTCAGAGCCCTGTGGCAGTTCAGAAGGTTTGAATGTGGTCTCTAACTCTGACTATTGGGTGGGACTTGCCCGCAGACACCTGAACCCCAGTGTGGACGGAGGGCAGCAGAGGCAAGGAACCCTGCTTGACTGGTGGAAGGCAGCACTTTGTATGTGGCCTTCAGACCTTTGTGCAGCCTGCCAGACGCCTCCCTTGCCCTCATTACTTTGCACTGAGCTGTAAGAGGATTTTGTAGCTTAGGGCTTTCTTCAGCATTGCCCAACACACAACAGTCCCTTTCACGCCTGTGGATGCCTCCCAGTTGCCAGGGGAGATTGAGAAGCAAGGTTGACAGAGCTGCAGATGGGAGGACTTGCCAAGGGGTGGCTTCCAGGAGCCCCCCCCACCCCCAAACCAGGAGGGGATCTGAGAGGAGAAAGCGATTCCCTGCTCACCCCTCTCCCATATGGATGTCTTTCAGGAGTCATGGCCGGCTTCAACATGGGGGGTGACCTCAGGGAGCCTGCCACCAGCATCCCCCTGGGCTCCCTAGCAGCTGTTTGCATCTCGTAAGTTCCCCCCATTGGTAATCGGCTGGAGAGAGGAAGAGAAAACTCCAGGCAAAAGAGGGAGGGGATTGCTGCCTTTGTTCTGATAGTACCCCAAGTCTGACCAATCTATTTCATATTCCAACCCTCTTTTTAACATTCAGCAGGCTGGAAAATTCAAGTCTGGCAGGTTCAGATGAGTGCCCTTTCATACCCCCTGCCTGGGAATGAGGGGCAAGTGTCACTAACACAGACCCAATCCTTTCTTCCCTTTCTCCTCAGCCTCCCGCCTCTCCCCCTCCCCACTCGAATTTTGAACTTGGGGATTTTTTAACCATTGAGTTTCCAGGACCCTTGGAAGGAGCATAAAGATGAAGGGTTTTGCAATCAGATTCAGATTTGTGTTTCAGCCATGCCGCTGCTTGGCTGCGTGACTTTGGACCATTTGCCGTACTTAGTTCTCTGGGCCTCCTTTTTCTTTTCTGTAAAATGTGGACAATGAAAACATGTGGGCCCCTTAGGCTGTGGATATTGTGTGTAAAGGCTCATAGTAGGAACTTAAAGACTGGTCCTTCTTCCCCCAGCTAGCCTCCCGGCACCACCCCCAGGCTGTCCTGGGTTTTAGGTCTCACTGTGCTACCCACATGAGCAGGCTGGGTGGCCTTGGGTCGTTTTCTGACCGTTTAGAATCTTATGATTTTCTTGTACCCTGAGAAAAAGCTTCTCTGTCTTGACTGGGTGGGTGTGAAAGGCAATGAGATCACAGATGTGACAATGCCTTGAAAAGTCAGAAGTGCCTGCATTATATTCATTGTGATATTTATAAATATTAACATGTATTTCTCAAATGCTGAATTTGCCCTTAGCCAGGCACACAGCACCAGTCTGTTTTATGCTAATCAGGGCAATTAATCATGTTGGGAAGAAAATGAAGCCAATGGGGGGAGAGAGAGAGCGAGAAAGCTGGGAGTTGGGAAGGAAATAAAGAAAGAGCCCTGTCTTGTTTTTGGTCACAGCTGGGAGGTCCTAGGGGGAACCTCTGGCCCATCTTCTCACTGCCAGTGTGGAAATGAGGCCACAGGGACCACGGGACTTGTTCCAGGTCACAGGGCATCTGGGGGTGGAGCCAGGCCACTGCAGGCCAGATTCAGTCTGTTCCGGAGGCCTAGGAACGGCAGGTCTTACAGGCCTGAATGGTCGGTCATCAACTTGTTCTCCTTGTGGAATGAAGGGGTGGGGGCTGTCAGTCAACTCTGGCCTGAGTCCTGGCAACCAGGAGGCCAGCTGGTCCCCCCTCCCCCACCTCCAAAGCCCTTTGTGTATTTTTCTACTTTACTGCAAAAAAAGAGACAAAACAATGATACTTTCTTTTTGCTAAGAAAAATGTAAGGAGAAAGAGTATGAAGGCGCCCCCCAAATGGACTGGGGAGTCAGCACAACCAGCCTTTCTCTTTCCTTTGAGTCAGGTCCCCGCGGGAACCTGAAGGCTGCATCGGTGGGTGGGGGTGGGGTTGGCTGAGGCGGGGGGCAGCTCTGCTCTGCTCTGCTGTTGGGTGTTTTGCAGGTGGTTTCTGTACGTTGTCTTTGTCTTCCTGCTTGGCGCCATCTGCACCCGAGAGGCCCTTCGCTACGACTTCCTGATAGCCGAAAAGGTGGGTGAGTCCTACACTAGCCCAGGGGCTCCATGTGCTGGGTCATTTGTTTGTTCCCATCAACAAATGGCAGCCTGCCCCTGGCAGTCCTGCCTGGGAATCCATATACTCTTGGCCCCGGACAGAAGGGTGGGGGGCAAAAACACGGAAAAGTACAGGCTCTTCTTATGGAACCCTAGAAACAGGTAACAACACCTGTAAAGACACATGCACCCAGCTGACTAAATGGAGAAAAAAATATCAGGACAAAAACAGAATCTGTTTACCTGAAATCCCCAGCTCAACCAGCCCTTTATTTTGGCCAATAGCCTCAACTGGCCACCCTGAGCAGAAAGCGCTGCTCACAAGAAGCAGGTAAGAAGGAGGACGCTGGTGGATATCAAGAGGGTGGCAAGGTTGCAGGGAGGAGATGGAGGAAGCCCAGTGAGAGCCTGGGGGAGGCAGGGTGGGAGGCCCTTGTCCTCTGAGAACCCTGACCCCTCGGGCTCTCCACACAGGTGTGCCAGGTAGATTTGACTGGTAACATCTTTGTTTCAAGAGGAACATCCTGCCCTGAGAAGATTAGAAAATTCCTCTCATTCCACAGCTGCCCCCTGAGCAGGCCAGAGGTCCTGTGATGGTCAAGGATACTCCTCGGCATCTCTGGAACCCAGGGGATTCAGAATGCCTGACGCTTTTCTGGACTCCTACCCCCAAACTCCTACCTTGCCTTAAGTTCCTAAAGGAAAAACAGACCCTGAGATTTCTGTCACTTACCAGAGAAATACAGTAGGCATCGGGATTTTCTTAGTTAACTCCTCGGTATCTCTGTTCATATTTTAGGAGAAATGGCCTTCTTCTCTCTGTGAGGGCTTGCTGGTGTTCAGGAGGGGGTGGGTGGGGTCACTGCTGGGGCAACCCCAGGGCAGGAAGCTCTAGCTTACTTTTTGGAGCTACATTTGAGCTTGGTTTACACACTAGCACAGGCTTCTTTTTACAGCACATAGACGCTCATGTAAAGGTGATATTTGTTTTCAGGGGTCGTGACCTTACCTTGGAGGCGGGTTTTGCAAGGGGCAGCAGTTGGCAGTGAGAGCACGGACACCCACCTTCCAGTGCCCAAGGTCTTAGACCCCCAACCAGCAGGGTTTGCTCTCAGGGGAGGAATCCATGGCCCTTACCTGTGCTTACGTGCCTGCTTGCATCTTGAGTTTCATCTCCCAGTGGCCTTTTCTCTCACTGCAGAATGAAAAGCTTGGCTGCATTAGAGGAATTAAAGGCCTTGGGGAGGAGCAGGTCCTCCTACCGGGGTGCTGCCTGCTGCTGTCTGCACCTTGCCAGGGGCCAGCTACCTCTGCCTCCTCCAAGGCTGGTTCCTTTCTAGTGAATCCCCTCCCAGAGGACCTTTCAGTCACCAGAGAATCTGATCTGGATGGAATGAGGCAAATTATCCACTGGGCTGGGAATCCTCTGTCCCCTTTCCTCCCCTGCTTTGCAGGGAAGCTAACAATGGGCGTGGGTGGGGGCAGGCAGCCTGAATTTAAGGAAGGCCACAGCAGCAAGAGAGTAAGAACATCTCTATGAACAGCATGGGAGAGCCTCTGTGGGTGGAAATTCCACTGCTAATAGTGGAAATCCATTGGGGGGAGGGGCTTGTTGGGAATGCCACCTGTCCTGGACCATGAAATGGGTAGGGAAGCACTCAGCCAGTTGGAGGCACGTGCTAAGCCGTGCCTGGCAATACCATGTGGGGACATCGGTGTGCACACACAGGGATGAGAAGCAGAGAGGCAGTTTTGGGAGAGGACGGAAGACCGCTTTCTGCAATGGAGCTGTAAAGCATAGAAAGAAAGAAAAGGTACTATTCTTGTTTCCCAGTAGCCGATGGGCAGGTACAACAGTAACCAGGAAACTCCAAAAGAGCAGTGCCCGGGTGTGCCCAGGACCATGCAAGGTTTTCCCCTTGAAGCCTTGAACCTTGGCTTTTCTCTGTCCTGCTCTCTGGTGTCCCTCCCTGGGACTGACTCAGCTGTGATAGCAGGTGCTATAATCAGTCAGTAAGTTGGACCACACACAATTTTACTAACAGTCCCGGACAAAGGGAAGGTATAAATGCACAGTCTTACACGGTCACTTGATACAACCTGCCTACCACCACGAAGTGGTTTTAATAAACTAGTCATCTTGGCTTCACATCTTAGCTGTGGCCGTGGTTGTGAACCTGCCCATCTCGGAGCTCTCCTGAGTCCAGAGGAAGCCAGGCCTCTTCAGTCCCATCTGGAGGGTCTCACCTCCGGCACAGGCAGGCCCCTGGCACTGGGTCTCAAACTCCTCCATGCGCTTGTCTTCCTCCTGGGTGCGTTCTGCCTGAACCGTTGCCATCAGTGGCTGCTGGCTGTGTTGGACTCCCTTCCACTGGCCTGCAGCTGCTCAGTTCATCTGCACCTGTCTGGGTTTCCTGCAGCTTCTCTGGTGTATTTCTTATTATTTGGCTTCCTGGTCCACAATTTCTCTAATTTTCCTTTTAGCCTATGTCCCTGCCCCACTGGAACTTTATCCTGGCCCTCAGGTGTCAGCATACGTAATGTTGTGCCTTCTAAAGAATCCCGAGTACCGTGTGGGTGGTGGCTCTGAGGTAATCTCTGTATAAAGCACAATACCCGGTACAGGGTAGGTGCTTATTGAATTTTGACTCCCTTACATGCCCCTGATGGGGGACACCCTTACAGATGGGACGCATTGGGAGGGGGCATATTTTGTTTTGTATGAACCCACCATATTTAACTGAATAGAAAAAGCTAAAAAGTCAATCGCAATATTATTCAGTTACATAAAAAGGAATTGTGTAAAGAGCAGGTACTAGTAGGGGTAAAGTTAAATCCATTAAATGACTGTTTCAGAATGAACTTGTCCACAGTCCAGGGAAAAACCTGGTTTTTTATACATCAGAAAGACCAGGTCCTTCAGGAGCCCTGGGGCTTGCTAACTGGAGGAGTAAGAACAGACTGAGTAATAAAAGTACCCCAAACATGTTTTTTAAAAGCGAGGTATCCCACAGAGTAAACTCTAACTGTTCTTGATTGTGGCAGTCGTGGTGTCACACATTCACAGTCGTGCTTGGGAAGGCAGGGGAGGGCAGGGCTGGGCTGGTGGCTGGCCGGTGAACCCAGCCAGATGTTCAGCGTCCACCGCCCGATCTGGCCTGCTGTCCGCGCCACCCCACCGTGGACGCGGCGCTGCCTCTGAGGAAGGAAGCAAACTTTGCTTCCTTACTGAAAATGGCTATCAAGTGAGAGAGAAAATGTGACTCCAAGTTGAGATGTTGGTCAATTTGTTCAGCGAGGACAGTATTAGAAAACTCGGGTCCGTGGAAGTATGATGCGAAAGGAAACGAGGTGACTATCGAGACAGTGCTGTGTTGATAAATTTGAGGTTGTAAGGGTCTCCCTGGATAATGTTGAGGGGCCACAGGAATTAGATGAGTCAGAATGAGCACCTTGCAAACAACTTCAAGCGCAATCCTTCGAGGGCGGGCGGGGGGGCAGCCAATGGGTTGGTGGGATCTCTTCCCAACTACCGCTCAAATGAGAGTGGGGACGAGGACTGAGAGCAGAGATGGAATTAATGATTTTCTATAAAAATGATTTTCTCTCTATAGTAGTCCCTGTAGAAAGAAATTAGGGTAGTTTACACCCCAGATAATGTAGTGGGAAGAGAGAGATGGTTTTGTGATGGTTTAAACAAGTATAGGGCAGAAGGGCAGCTTTTTTCTTAAAAAAGATCATCTGCTCAAATAAAGTCTCATTCCCAGCTCCACCGGCAGTTAGTGAGTTCCCAGTCCCACATGGTCAGAGAAAGTGATTAAGTTCTGCAAGGGCTGGGAGCAAACCCGTGTGGTTTGTGAATGCACTTATGAAGGCTTGCTCTGTGCCTAGCCCCATACAGGTGTATAGCTTGACCTCAGCCGATGTCCCCTTTGTGGATGGATGCATGACAGAAAGGAAGAGACAGAGTTCAGGTGGGAAAGGGATGCAAAGTAATTTTTTTATAACCTATTCAGACATGAGGACCAACATGTCATTTATTTTTCAGAAAACTGACTGCGTAGTAGTTTTATGTAAAAGATCGGCAAGTGAACAGACCATTGTAAACACACCTGACAAACTGGACATAAACAAGTCACTGTGCCTAGGCAGTCCCCGCCTGGCCTTGCCCAAAGGCTCTGCAGGGATCCCTGGGACTGTCTGTGGGGAGGCCGCTGCGGCTGCACGTTCCTGCATCGTGGCCTCCAGTGCCAGAGGCTCATCGAGTTCCTGAGCTCGGTCCCAGCACCAGAAGGACACCGGAATAGAAGGGCAGTCTCATCTCCATTCTGAGTAAATGAACAGGCTTTACTTGAAAAAAAAAAAGACATTTAAAACACAAATATATGTCACTTTCTGGGTAAGAAGCAGTGAAATTTCTGCAGGAGATAACAGCCTGACCCGTCTGGAGACTCTGTGAGGGGGGAATGCAGGACACAGCGCCCTGCGCCCAGTGGCTCTCGCCCTGGCTGCACAGTAGAGCAGCCCCCCGCAGTGCTTTTGAAAAGCCAGTGACGTCTGTGCCACCCCCCTCCCCAGCGACTGAAGCAGAATCTCTGCAGTGATTCTTATGCACAGCCAGAGTGGAGAGCTACCGAGTTAGATTCTCGGTATCGAGAATCTAATCGAAGTGCATTCGATGAAATTTTATCAATCACATAATCTGTGTATTTTTAAAATCAGTCAGCATAGGATGCAATTGGGAGCAAAGACAGAAACAAAACTTACAGACGCATGATCGCATCTCAGGGTGGATCGACGACTGGCAATGGGCCTGTTCACCTAACACTTTCGTAAGACACCCAGGGCACGAATCACAGTGAAGTTGTGAGGCGTCATGAATTCAGCGGCCACTTGCTGGGCCCCGTTTGCCAGACTGTCGGGGGCAGCAGGGGGAGGGCCAGGTGTGTGGGACACTGATCTGCCCCATGGAGCTCGTGGTGCATGGGAAGGACAAGCACCATGAGCGTGACTGTCTACTCCACGGGTTGCCATAAACTATACTAGAGTAGAAGATAACAAATGCCATCAGTGCACAAAAAAGGCAGGTGATGACATTAATTTCTTTTAGTAATAAAATGGTAAATGAAGGTTTAGGGGTGGGACAAACACAAGAAACCTGTGACATTGAAGAAACGGGGAAGATTCATCGGGGGTAAGATGAGGTAATGCATTCAGGGAAAAGTAACCTGCACTGAACTGAGGACAAGGTAGGCTCTGTAGTCGGCCTTGGTCATGTTCATCGAACCTCTGGCCTCACTGTCCATTTGGAGGTAATTCCACTTGTGTGTGGTCTTAAAGGAGTGAACCCCATTTAATATTACAGAAGCCCAGATGACTAGATCCTCTCTTGCCCGTCCTCCCATGGTCTGGCAAGGCATGTAACCTACGCTCGGCCCATTGATGCTTCGTTTGTAACGAATGAAGCAAATAAAAAGGAGTGGTGGGAATTCTTCCACAGGGCACCTGCAGGCTGGTAGCATCCTGGTCAAACTGCTCTTGTTCAAGAGCCTGGGTGCACCTCCGGGCGTGGGGCATGCCCTTTCCCAAGCCTGGTATTCCAGCCTCCTGATGGCTCTGTGAACCTCCAGGGTCCTACAGATGTGTTCTTTAAAAAAGTATTTCCTGTCAAGAATCATGGCCAATACAGGTTTCTGGTGATCATTTATGAGCCAGGAAAGAGGTCTGACCAGGGGCTGGTGTTCCATGTAGTTTGATGTCATTGATGTGTGCTTCGTAAGCAAGAAAGTTAAAAGTATGGGATCGGGTGAGTCTTCAAGGAGAAGGGGTAAGGGGCAAAACTGAAAATTCAATCTAACCCATCTTAATCGTTGAGCAAATGAACACTTGGAATAAATAGTTCTGGTGACTGTGCCTAAGGTAAAATAGAATGGAGAAGGGCATCTCAAATAATTAAGAAAACAGATTTCCCTGTGGGCCCAGGTCAGGAGGGTGAGGTGGACTCACGCGGACAGCCTGCGACACAGCTGCATGGCCGGTAGCACTCATCTGTCACAAGTTGACACCAAGCAGGACAACTACGCTCTCTCTTACCCTATCTGTCCAGTGCCCAGTGGGCCATATGAGTCATGGATCTCATTTATTCATTCACTTATTCACTCAGCATTTATGGTTCCGTGTTGGCACCAAGTACACTAGGATGAATGAGAAATGAAGTCAGCAGAGGAGACAGTGTCCGAGGTGCCCCCGATCTCCTGTTGAAGTGCTGCAGGGCCTGAAGGGCAACCACTGTTGCGAGGGGGTTAGGGATGGCCGCATGGAGAAGGGGAGGCTCGTGATGTGACTTGAAGCACAACTGGGAGTTTACCAGACAAGTAGTAGACTGAAGGTGTGGGCACAGGGTTCCAGCAGGCAGGGAAATGGTGCTGACAGACTCTGAGTGCTCAGGGTAGAGGGCTCGGGAGGTCCCAGACCAGGGAAGGCCTCATATGTCAGGGCAGTGGGGAGCCATTGGCATTTTTGCAGCTTAGGCATTAATGATCGGTTTTGAGTTTAGAGGGGCCACTGTGGCAGAGGCTTGGGGATGGTTCAGTGTGGGAGCTGCGTACAGGCGGGAGGCCATTGAGCATTGCTGTTGGCCAGTGTTTCTCAAAGCGTAGTCCCCAGACCCTCAGTGGCAGTGGTGCCTGGAACTTGGAATTGGAAATCCAAATTCCTGGGCCCCACCCCACACCTACTGAGTCAGAAACTCAGAGTCACACCCAGAATCACTTTTCATGGGCTCTTCGGATGAGTCGGTGCACACTGGGTTGGAGAATCTCTGTGGAGTCCAGACAAGATGTGATGGTGACCCAAACTGAGATGGGGCAGTGCAGATGAAGTAGGTGGGGCTGGTATTGGGAATATGTCCGGAAGGTTGAATCTGGAGGACTTAGAATTAGATGGGATGCAGCTGGGTGGGTACCAAGTGGGGCAGAAAGGGACAGAAGCAGGGTCTGGCCCTGGGTAATGGAACTGTTTCCTCATACAGGTGTCCCTGGTGGGCTTCCTGTTCCTTTTGGGCTTGTACATCTCATCCCTGGCCTCCTGCATGGGAGGCCTGTACGGGGCCCCCCGGATCCTGCAGTGCATTGCCCAGGAGAAAGTGATTCCCACACTGGCCTGTCTGGGGCAAGGGGTAAGTAACCTGTTTTTTGACAAATGTCCAGTTTGCTGATTGCTGGCGAACAAATTGCTTAAGGCTTTCTGATTAGAGCCACTGGTCAAGTCTTCCAGGGCGGGAGAGACAAGAGTCCAGAGATCATTTCTCTCACCCCTGTCCTCTGGCTGCCTTTGGCTGGGGCCAGTCGGACAAAGCTCCTGCCAGCATCACTGCCACCCGGGGCCCTGGCACTGGGTTAGCTAACTGTCACAGAAACATCTTGGGCCCGGCACAGAGGGAAAGGGAGAAACACCTCCTTTAATAACAGTGAACTCAGGGTCCATGGGGAGGAGAGGTACTGGTCCCTGTGACTCTGTCTGGGAGGTCACCTGCTCTTTGGAGTTGCTTTATGATCATTTCCCACACCTCTGGCCTCTGGGCTCTCTATTAATCATCATGGCCCACACCTTAACTGATCCAGTATAGCTTGGCTGAGCCACGGAATGATCAAATGAGACATACCTAAAATTGAGGGGATGATAAGAGAAAAAGAAAGAGACCCCCACTCTCCGGTAATGTGGGTTGCAGGCTACAGTTCATCTGTGCCTCGTTAGAGCACCACGGAGGCCCGCCCTGGCCCCTCGCCCACCGGAGCCTCCCTCTGGGTTAGGGCCACATGGCTGCAGTCATCCTTAGTTCTTCCCTTTACCTTCCTCCACTCGCTACCCATCAGTCAGCATAGGCCGCGGAGAAGTAATGACTACCATCTCTGCCTCCCATGTGGTCTCTGCCTTTTATTTTATTTTAATATCATTTATTTTTATTAGGTAATACATGTACAGGTTTTAAAACTAAAAGTGACATAAAAGGTATACACTGGGAATTTTTTCTCCTATCATGAATCTTTTTATTTCTTTCCCTGACTGCACCCATGCCCTATTCATAGCTGCTCTTAATGAATCCTTCTCTCCTCTAATTGTATACAAAGACTGAGATTTACACATTTGTCATATACTTTGTTTTTATTCATTTAATACAGCTTGGAAGTCTATCCTTTCATGTGGCTGTAGAGAGAACTTTCTCATGCTTTTTAATCATGCAGACACACCATGACTCGTCTACCCAGTTCCCTTCTCTGTGAGTCGACCCGTGTGCTGCCCCCAGTAACCAAGCTACAGAGGACAATCTGTGTGTGCGTGTGTGCGTGTGATTTTGTATATGTGCCAATATATCTACAGGATACATTTTCATGAGTGGGTTTGCTAGGTCAAAGGGTGAATGCATTTTTAGTTTTAGTAGATACTGCCGAAACACCTTCCATGGGATTTGTATCATTTTGTACTTCCACCATATTGTACTTCAGCAATATATGAGAGTTCCTGCTTCCTCCCAGCCAGTACTGCTCTTCTTCGACTTGGGACAAAAGACCTTGCTTTATGGGAAGGACTCTGTTCTGGTTCTTAGGGTAAGAAGTTCATGAGGCCAAGGGGACATGCCCACCCGGGTCCCATGCACCTTGGAATTCCCTGCCCAGCTGTCCCTCAGCCCACATCCAGGGTCTACAGGGGCCACTTCCCTGGGCCTGTTCTCTCTGGGGCCAGGGCATGAGCCAGGGTATGGGCCAGGAGTCCCCATGTGGGTGTGAGGCCCCTCACAGCACAGTGGGGCTGTCTCTCTGGGGTGGGAAGGGCTGTGAGCTGGAGGCCGCCCACGGCCATCCTCTGGTGGGGAACTCTGAGGAGTGTGAGAGTTCTAAACCAGCCTTCCCATCGTCCTGACGGTGTGTTTGCCAAAGCAAGGATAGAACAAATTTGATTTAACAGCTTGTCACCTTGGGTTATAATGGTAGATATTTAGACATAGGGTGCTTGGGCTGCCGTTTGCACTCTTGCCCCAGGCATCACAGCGTTAGCAATGAACCTGCCCACAGCTCATTGTCAAATGGGAATTTTTGCCATTGTGCAGAGGGACAATGAGAAACGGTTAGGATACTTGGTGTTTGTCTTACTATTTTTTTTTATTTTAAAAAGAATTTTAAATTATTTATTTTTTAGAGAGAGAGGAAGGGAAGGAGAAAGAGAGGGAGAGGAACATTGATTGGTTACCTCTCATAGGCCCCCAGTGGGGGACCTGGCCTGCACCCAGGCATTGGCCCTGGCCAGGAATCAAACTGGAGACCTTTCAGTTAGTGGGCCAGCACTCATCACTGAGCCACAGCAGCCAGGGCTGTATTAGTCTTATTATGATTGAGGCTGAACATCTTTTCCTCAAAGAGTCATTTGTTTGTTTGCTTGTTTTGTGTGATTGTTGGTCTTTTTCTTCTCAATGGCTAGAAGCCTTTCTTTGTTAGGGACATTAATTTTTGTAATATGTATTACAAATATTTTCTCTAACTTGTTAGTTTCCTTTTAACTCTAAAACCTTTATTTTCAAATCTTCTTTACATATGATTAAATTTTATTAGCACTTTTTTATAGGAAAGAGAAGAAACTTTTTAAAGTTTTTGAGATTTATTCACTGTACAGAAAAAGTTATAAAAACCATAAGAGCAGTTTAAAAACTATGAAGCGAACATCTTTGCAACCTCCTGCAAGAGCACTGGTGGTGGATGCCACCCTCCACACGCCTCCCTGGTTTGAGCCCCGGCCCTCTGGCTATGGGAGCTACTGTCCTGGCTACTGTGATAGTAATATTCTTTACTTTCTTAATCATTTGCTCAGGAGTTGACAAAATTTTTCTGAAAAGGGCCAAATTATAAATATTTTAGGTTTTCCAGGCCCTACAGTCTCTGTCCCAACTGGACTCTGTCATTATAGCTCAAAAGTTGGCATGGAGAACACCCATGGGACAAGTGTGTCTGTGTTCCAACAGAACTTTGTCTCTGGGACACTGAAATGTGAATTTCATGTAATTTTCATGTGTCACAAAAATATTACTCTTCTTTCTATTCCAACCCCCCCCCGGCTCTTTAAAAATATAAAACCGCCCTTAGGTCTTGGGCACATATAACTAGATGGTGGCCAGGTTGGGCCCAGGGGTCACGGTTTGTCAGCTCCTGGTTTACTCCACATGCATCTCCAAACAGAATGATTTGATTTTGTCTGTTTTTTAACTTTATGTGAGTGTGGCGTGCCTCTCTCACTCAACATCACGTTCATGAGATTCGTCCCTACAGTACAGCATTCCTCATTTGTTGTGGTTTATTCATGCGCTGTGCTGCCTCGGACCCTGGGGCCACTCCGTCCGGGCCTACGGCAGCCAGCACTCCTGAGCGGCAGGTGGTGAGCACGTGGGGTTCTTCCAGGCCACCTGCTCTCGGGGCAACTGCTGAACCTATGGTCTGTGTATCTTCTCTCACCAGAGAACACAAAACCTTTTTCCAAAGTAGTTGTATTAATTTGCTCAGCAATGGATAAGCATTACTGTTTCTCTGTGTTCTTGCTAACACTTGATAATATAAGACTAATATTTGCCAGGCTGGTGGGTGTTTAAGGGTATCTCTCTGGTTTAATTTGCATTTTCCTGACTATATAATGACATTGGGCATCTTTATTATGTTTCATAGGCACTCTTTTGCTCTTCTTTTTTAGTGTGCTGTCTATCTTTTTCTAAGGATTTTGTGGGGATTTCTTTTGATATATTTTGTCTGACCCTTTGTCAGTTACACGAGGTGGGCAATTTACAGTTGTGAATATGCAAAACACATGGCTTATTCTTGTGTTATTATTTACTAACTATTGTATTATTTGTAAAACAACTGTAAACCTACATTTGCCTATCCCTATATGTTTTAAAAATATCTTTTCCCATTCTGTGGCTTGCTTTTCATTTCTTCACGGTGTCTGTTGGTGAACAGAAGTCCATGTCTGAGTGATTTGTCTCTTTACAACTGTCCTCGTCAGAGTCCCGCCTGGACTGCTAACATTTCCTTCAGCATCTTTTTAGTTTCTGAGGATTTACTTTATTCTCAGTATTTTTATTGTTAGGATATGCTAAAGAATTGTAGCTGTACCAAAAAAAAACATAATTCTCAAAAAAAGTGTAATTTTACTTTTTTTTTTTAAGATTTTTACTCCAAGGTTCTAGAGAAGGTATTTCAGGTCAATAGGGACTCTGGTCCTCAGAGACTCAGGCTGATGATGATTTGCCATCTTCATCCTGTGACTTCATAGGTTGCCCTTGATTCCAGCCCTCAGTAATGGGGCACACCTGGAGGAACACGCGTGGGCGGTCCCTGGGGCAGATCTGGAAGTGGCTTATATGCCTGACCTTCACATTCCAGAGTGCTGTCAGGAAAGGAGGTGGTTAGATCCTGTGTGTGACCTGAGGGTAAATTCTTACACTATTTGCTAATGGAAAATGAGAAAATGAGAAGCATCAAGAATTCTCCTTGACTGAGCAACCGGAAGGATGCACTGCTGTTTTCTGAGCTGGAAGACAGCAGAAGGAGTAGATTTGAAGAGCAGGAGACTGGGGGAGCAGCAATCTTATTCTGACACATTACGTCTGAAATCCTGTTAGACATCAACTGGAAATGTTGAGTAGACAGTTGAATACTTAAGTCTGGACTTAAGGAAACATTTCAGGCTAGAGATTTAAATTTGGGATTTGAGAGCATAAAGCTGGTGAGTAAGGCCACGAGCTAGTTGAGATTACTTAGGAAGAGAGTGCAGATAGATAAAAGAAGGGGGTCTGAGGATGGAGCCTGGGCGGCTTTCAAAGATGTGGGGGAGCAGCAGAGACAGAAGAGCAGTCACTGAAGAGGGAGGCAAATCAAGAGGCGAGAGGTGAAGAAAGTCTTTCAAAAACCAGGGGGCGATGAGCTGGGTCAAATGTAGTTCTTAGGTTAAGGAAGATGAGGACGGAGAGGTGACTATTGTTTTTGGCCCAAGGACTGCGTCAGTTTCTCTGCTGCATCTCTTCCGTGGAATGAGAGATTATAAGGAGTTAGCACATATTTTCCACTCCTATCCTGAAGGTCACATCCCCACCTCCATCCATAACAGGTGTGCATGTGTGTGTGTGTGAGCATGTGCGTGTGTGTGTTTAATACTGGAATTTCCTCACCGCAGCCACCAATGATTCTGCTGTCTTCTAGGGTCTGTCACGCCCCTAGGGTAATTTTCTCACGATGGTCTGGAAAGAATCAACTTTCCATCCTTTTTATTTCCAAAACAGTGCTAAAACTGATGACAGACCAAAGGAGAATTACTTGGGAAGTCCAAGTTCTAGGCTGTTGCCCCATGTGAATAACTACTGATATGACTAGTACCCATGGTGTGTCGGGAGCCTGCTGTGAGTCAGGCCATGTCACACATTTTATATGCATTTAGCTCTGATCCCACAATAATTCCATGGGTTGGATATTACTGTATTATCCCAAGTTTGTAGATGAACAGCTATTAACATACCAAGCATCACTTGGGAGAAGTGGCTGAGCCCTTTTGAGTTGTGTTTTTATCACATGTGATTTTCTTCTGAAATTTCATAGTCCTGCATGTTATTTCTGTTTTTGCAGAAAGGGCCGAATAAAACTCCCATAGCTGCCATCTGCCTGACTAGTTTGGTGACCATGGCCTTTGTCCTTGTGGGTCAGGTGAATGTTCTGGCTCCCATCGTCACCATCAACTTCATGCTGACATATGTTGCGGTGGATTACTCCTACTTCTGCCTGTCCATGGTTTCCTGCAGCCACCCCCGGGTGCCTGGGTCAGTGCACAGGGAGAACATGGAAGCTCTCCACTGCTCTGAGCACCTGCTGTTGGAAAAGGCTCCCAGTTATGGCTCTGAGGGCACTGCCCGAAGCCTCTCTGAGGGCACTCTGCTAGAATTCACCAGAGACATGGATCAGCTCCTCCAGCTAACCAGGAAGCTAGAGAGTAACCAGACCAGGCCAGGAGACAGTGACAGGATCCCGGAGCATCAGAAGGGGAAATGCAAGAAGGCCACCAAGCAAACCCTGCAAGATAGCTTCCTCTTGGACCTCAAGTCACCAGCTTCCTTTTCTCCTGAAGGCCCTGACAGATTGCCCACTGACTACTGGCAGGGGCAGGAGTTCTGCTGGTTCAACCAGCATTCCAGGAGTGAAAGGGCTCATCCTGGGGGAACATGTGGAGAGCAACTTGTCCCTGAGCCAAGCAACCAGCCAGGGCCAGGTGGAGAAGGTGAGTGCTCTGAAATTGTACTGGGGCCTCCTAATTCAGGTTGACTACTGGTTGCCTCACCTGCTCCGTTATCACAACCCTCTTTCAGGTCCTTAGCCTGCCACTTTATGGCTGTTTTTTTCCTTGTTTGTTTTGTTTTATATTTATTTTAAAAGTTATATTCAGATATCAGCTAAATTTGTAATTCTACTCTTATAGATAAGTAATTTTAAACAGAAATTTCTATCTACTCCTATATGTGGGAGCCATGACTGCTAATTGAATTCTAATTTTATTTTACTCTAAAATCAGTGGAGGTATAAGGCCAACACGAATGAAAACCAATTTCCCTTTTCAAAAGAAGTGGAAATGTGCTTTGACAAACTGCCTGGCAAGGGCTCAGTACGATTTGTCTGTGGAAGATGAATATCCCAAAACAGGCACGAGGGGATGGAGAGAAGGTGGCAAAGGGGGGACAGCTTTTCTTCACTTTCTGAAATCTGCAAACACAGAGACACAGGGAGAGACTTCAAAGAGAGGCTTACAGGAGATGAGAAATTCTGAGAGAGGGAGAACTCAATCTTTGAGTCTTCCATATTTTAGGTATTTGACATGTCCTTTCATGAATGTCCATGTAATGGATATTTGTGTTTTCCATTTCATCATGAAGTCCCTGAGGCCCTGTGAGGGCACAGAGAGGTCTCGGAGCTGAGCGTTTGCACAGCTGGACATCATGCCCAGGCCTGCCCCTGTGGAGGCCCCTGCTTCCCTTTACACAACTGGCCCCTTGACGCCAGTGGGCCGAGAGGAGGAGACGGAGGGACATGGAAGATGTCTAAAAAGAAATGCTTTACCTTCTTCCATATACATACTTTTTCTTCTTTATCTTTAAATTAGTGTGAGGTTTTTAATGGTAGGAGCATTATTAAAATTTTTAAAATCACCTTATCAACATAAGTGTATAGTTTAATGAGCCAAGTGGAACTAAAAGTCACATAATCAAAAATGCTTCCCATTCTTCTATACTATCCCATCAATCCTTTTCTGCCTCCTAGTTTAACCCCTAGAAAACCCCACTTTCAACAAAAAAGGTGCTTCTTCTGTTAACCTAAGTGTTAGTAAATAATATATTTGTGTTGCTACTTCTTGATGTCAGTATCAGATATCATCTTTTGACTTCTCATTATCATAAGTGAAGATTTAGCTCATTTATGCCATTCTGACTCCCCATTCAATGTCTCAGTGTAATTAATTATATTACAGTTTTGATTAACTTAATACCTAGTATTTCTATTATCATGATTGAGTAACTATTGCTTAATTCTGAGACATACACTCTACTATGATTACATTTCCTTTTTTGTCCATCATTTTCTGTTTCCTGGAGTTAAGAATTGCATTGGTTATTTATTTATTTATTTTTTTGCCATAAATTTTTCTCTAAATGCTCTGGCAGATATGTCAAATGCCTCTTAATGTTATTTTCCAAATGCTTGGATTCTTCAGAAATCTGTCACATCCATTTGTTTTCCCCTCTGTCCCATGGCTACTCTACTGTTCTACTCTGGACAGCCTGTTCTCCAGGCCTGCTGCAAGCTGTTGTCTTGGAATTCTTCTCTTTATGGCATTTTTTTGTTGTTGGATCCAGAGAATAAGAGATTTTTTTGGATCTAGGGTACAAGAGACTTCTTGGATACAATATAATAGCAGACTTCTGGCTTTTTTTTTTCCTGCCTATGTAGCATTGAGTGACCTCCCTATATTTGAACAGTTTCCAATGTTCCAGTCTTGGTTGGAGGCAAAGCAAGCCTTTCACACTCAAAACAAAATGCTGGGTATCAGTTTTCCACCCTCTCCAGCAGCCAGAGTTCAGGCACAAGACCAAGGCTCTGCTACTCAGATAAGCCCTTCTTATACCGGAACCGGAAACCCAAAGGTATGGGATTTGGAGGAACTCTCAGGAAGTCTAACAGTAGCTGCGGACGACCATTCTTGGTCCCAGTGTCAGGGTTTTCAGGGCGTACGGGCAGGCTCTGCGTCTGGACCAGGTGCCTGCAGTGCTGATGTCCTCACTAGGCTGCTCTGGCAGAGAATTTGAGTGGTGTTGCTGGCTGCAGGGCCCTGGACTTTATTCACCAGCCTTTCCAGCTGTTCTCAGAGGGGAGGCTGGGAAATGTCTTTTTGGCTGGTCATATTGCTGTTTCACATGAAGTTGTGTAGATTTTTTTTTCCCTAAGGAAGAAGAGGAGCTTGGGTGGCAACAATCATTATACCACAATTGTCCTGTTTTTCATTTCCAAGACCTCTTGCTTATAATCTGATTTGCCCTTGTCCTTCTGAAAACCATTTAACATCATCTTATTCTTGTTATGGGTTTAGTGGTTTATCTTATCTTTCTGGTAATATTACTTATTTTCCCTTTGAAGTCTTTTTCTGCTCCTTTTACTGCCCTGTGTTCTCTAGGTTCTTTTCTCTTTGGCTTGGTGTTCTCTCTCTCTCTCTCTCTCTCTCTCTCTCTCTCTCTTTCATCTTTACTAACATGTCTGTTGGTCTTTTGATTTCTTTTCTTACTTTGAAGTATTAAAAAGCATACTGGGCAGGGCTTGTTCATTGGGGTACCTAACTGTAAAATGATTAGGGAGTAAGCTAGGTTCTTCACAGGGGACCCCCAAATGTAACTATCTCTAGAGGGTTTCCTCTGGGGCTCTTCAGTTCTTCTGCAGAAGGGTCATTTAATCTCTTGCCTGGAGCTCATCCAGATGGCTGCTTGCATTCAGGGAGCAAGGGAAGGGAAGGGACTTGGGGGCCCCCCATCTTTAGGATAGGGGCTTTCATTTAAATCTCGTTTCTAGCTCCAGTCCTGTACTCTTTGATGAGCTTGGTGTCCCAAGTCTGGGCATTCTCTGGTTTGATTTCTTTAGAGAAAACCCCCTTGGGGAGTGGACTGGGCAAAGAAGGAGCTGTTACCTGGCTGGATGGGTAGAGGACCTCAGTGTCCAACTGTTTCATACAGTTTTTCAACCACCCCCCTGAACCTTACCACTTCCTAGGGACATGGTGCTTCCTGATCCTGAATTCTCTGAAGTCTACCAGGTGCCTTGGGCTGCTCCTTACCTGCACCTTATCTGTAGGCTCTAGGGTTCATCCTCCTCTACTCTGCCTGGTCTGTTACCACTCTTCTGTTACCTTTTCATCTTCCAAGACTTGTTTTCCTCTTTCCTTTCTCATTCTCCCTGTGTTTGTGGGTTTATAGCTATTTAATTCCTTTTCTGTCTTCTTTTCTGGTTTTCAGGAGAGACATATGGTCAGGTTGCCATGTTTAATCAATGAAGTGGTTGCTACCCAACTGCCCAATCTAGAAATGTCATAGCTATTGACTGCTCGTTCTCCTCCACCCTTGCTGTCTTTCCCTTGGAATAGACCCTCATCACCTTGCACCCAGGCTCTTGTTATGTCTCCAAACTAGTCTCCAGCCTCCAGATTTTCCTATAGCCTACTTCTCCTTCTCATTGTTCACTGGATGATCTTTCTGAAATAAAATTCTCATCATGTCTCTCTTGATTAAAAACTTTCACTGGAATCTAATGCCTTGATCTTAAGTCCATCTTAAGTCCAAGATCCCTGCTGTGATCTGCAAGGTTCTTTAGGTCAATCCTGCCCTGACCCACCTTCCCGGCCACTTTTCTCATGATGACCCACACACTGTGTGTTGAGGCTAAACCCAGACTAGTGCCCTAAACACATCGTGTTCTGTGTGCCTTCCTGCCTTTGAGTATGCTGTTCTGCCTTCTCAAATTGCTTCACCTCCCCCAACTCCATCTGGAAAATTCTGACTTACGGTTTAAAGTACATTTGGCTTTCCAGGCCCATTTTTACCCCCTCTGAGAAGGATTACCTAATTTCCCTGCTGTGCAAGCATAGTATTTGATTCATACAGGAAGTATAAATAAGTATCACATTGTTTTATACATTCAAATCACATGTGTTTATACATCTGTCTTCAGGCCCACTCGTCTGACTGTCTTAAGGAAAAGCAATACTAGTTTTGTTCCTTTGCCTCTAGACTGTGAGCTTCCTTTAGTCACAAACCAGGTCTTTTCACCTTGTATTCATCCCAATATTCCCACACGGCCATAGCACACAACAAACAGTAAAAGCTGGTTATATTGATGGACATTTGAACACATATTATCTAAAAAAGTGAAACATTGATCAGTGAAGTAGACTAGAAAGTGTTAAACTATTATAAGAACTTAATGTGTGACAAACCAGATGCATAAAATTATAAGAATTAAACCACTATTGAATAAATATTGTTGAGAGCAAATGGATCCAAAAAATTAACTTGGGGGCTATATTTTATGCCTTACATAGCCATGAATTCCTTATTTATAACAGCTGTGCAAAAGAGATATTTCTGACTATTGAAGACATCATCAAAGATAAAAAAGAATCTGATTAACTAGAAATAAAAAACATTTGAACAACAGTGTTGCAGAAGGAAACAATTATTCAGACAAACACAACTGATAAAAGCATACCTTCCAAAGCATATTATTTTTAAAAACAGGAAGGTCAAAATCCATATTCCACTAAGCAGAGGTCAGAAGAGATGAATATGTAGTTTACATTTGAAAAATCAATTCCCAGACTCGTTCACTGTCTACTCAACAAACTATTATTGTTAAGTGTTAAACAATGTTAGTAGCTAAAAAATAGGCAGCATTTATTAAGCATGTCCCATGTTCCTGACACTGAGATAAGCACTTAACACAGATTTTCTTACCTTGGTTCACTGTAGACATTGTTGTTACCTTTTTTGCAGAGGTTTAGAGAAGTTAAAACCTTGCTCAGGATGCGAACCAGTCAGAATTTGAACTCAGATCTGTTTCACTTTAGAACCTGTGTCCTTAACCACTAAGTGTATGCTGCTTGCTGTCAGTATGTTTTATGAACTAGGGCATGGTAGTGATTAAATCAACACAAATTCAACCACCTGTAAGATATCATTGCATATCTAT